ACTCCTGGGCTCAAGCGAGTCTCCTGCCTCCACCTCCCAAGTAGCTGGGACCACAGGCGCCCGCCACAACGCCCGGCCATTTTTTGGTTGCAGCCATCGTTGTTTGGCGGGCCCGGGCTGGGGATTTGAACCCGCCACCTTAGGTGTACGTGGCTGGCGCCTTAGCTGCTTGAGCCACAGGCGCCGAGCCTCAACTTCTTTCTAATACGATAACCACTCCTGGCTATAAAGTGTTTTAAATGTTCCAAGTTTGAACTGAGATGTGCTGTAAGTACAACCTGCACTCTAGATTTGGAAAACTAAGTATGAAAAAGGAATGTAAATTATTTTGTCATAGTGATCCATGTATCACTTTGAGACAGACTGTGTTATGGGTTCATTGTTTCATTTCCAAGAAACATAGTTAATAGCATCCTGATTCCCTGTGCAAGTTTCAACTTGCTTGGCTTATTGGTGTTGCTAGGAGAGCTTCCTTTGTTTCCATCCACATGGATTTATGTTTCTGAATTTTTCTTTATCTCAAAACTTTGGTAATGACCCATGTATCTCCTTAATAATTTTACATGATTACATGTTGAAGTAACACTTTGATATATTGGATTAAATAAAAATATTTATTAAAATTAATTTCACCTGTTTCTCTGGTAGTGTGGAAAGAGCTACACATGTAGCTCTCATTTCTATTGGACAGGGCTGATTAATATTTGGTTCGTTTTTAAATCCTTTCTCTGTTTTTAAGGCCTAATGCTAACTTTCAATTTTATTAACCATTGTATCTGTTTTACTCAATTCTTATTATTTTATTTTTTTGAGACACAAACTCACTATGTCGTCTTCGGTAGAGTGCCGTGGCATCACAGCTCACAGCTTTCTCAAACTCTTGGGCTTAAGGGATTCTCTTGCCTCAGCCTCCCAAGTAACTGGGACTGCAGGCACCTACCACCACAACACTGGCTATTTTTTTGTTATTGTTATTTAGCAGGCCCTGGCTGGGTTCAAACCCACCAGCCCCTGTGCATGTGGCCAGCGCCCTAACCACTGACCTACAGGCACCGAGCCTGTTTTACTCAATTCTATAGATATTTGTTGAGTGCCTTCGATGTGAACAACAGGAAGATGAACTCTCCAGATACTCACAATTTAGTCTGACAGATAAAGTGAGCACTGATACCCATTATAGTGGCAGGAGCACAAAATGGAAAGACACAGGTTGGGGGGTAGTAGTGGGGTAGAGGAACTTGGGCCTTGAAGAATGTACAAGATTACAAAAAAGCAAGAAAAAAAATTTGTCAGACATAGTGGGACATACCTGTAGCCCCAGCTACTTGAGAGGTTAAGGAGGGAGAAGCACTTGAACCCAGAAGTCAGAGGCTGCAGTGAGCTAGGATGACACCACCACACTGTAGTTTAGGTAACAGAGCAAGACACTGTCTCTAAAAAATAAATAAAACTACACACAAAAGGAACTGTGAGTCTTTGTGCTTTCTCTTTCCAACCAGCGCTGAGCAATGGGCATCTGTCGAGACAACTGGCACAAGCACCGCAAGACCAGGGGCAAGAGAAAGCCCTACCACAAGAAGTGGAAGTATGAGTTGGGACGCCCCACAGCTAACACTAAGATTGGTCCCCACTGAATACATACCATCCGTATCCAGGAGGTAACAAGAAATGCCATGCCCTGGGGCTGGATGTGGGAAACTTCTCTTGGGGCTCAGAGTGTTGTACTAGGAAAACAAGGATCATTGATGTTGTCTACAATGCATCCAATAATGAGCTGGTTTGTACCAAGACCTTGGTGAAGAACTGCCTTGTGCTTATTGACAGCACACCATACCAACAGTGGTATGAGTCCCACTATGCACTGCCCCTAGGCCGCAAGAAAGGTGCCAAGCTGACTCCAGAAGAAGAGAGATTTTAAACAAAAAACGGTCAAAAAAAATTCAGAAGAAATATGATGAAAGGAAAAAGAACGCCAAAATAAGCAGTCTTCTGGAGGACCAGTTTCAGCAAGGGCAAGCTTCTTGCAAGTACTGCGTCAAGACCAGGCCAGTGTGGCCAAGCAGATGGCTATGTGCTAGAAGGCAAAGGGCTGGAGTTCTGTCTAAGGAAAATCAAGGCCTGGAAAGGCAAATAATTCTTCCTCTCTCCTATCTTTTTTTGTTTTGTTGCAGTTGTCATCGTTTAGCTGGCCCTCGGTTTCAACCCACCAGCCTTCATGCATGTGGCTGGTGCTGTAACTACTGTCCTACAGGCAAGAAGCCTTTCTCTCTTCTGTCTTGGTTCATGTAATAAACCTTCGTTATTCAAAAAGAAAAAGAAAAAAGAAAACCACACAAATAAGCAGAAACTTTTAGTCTAGAAATTTCAGTTGGACCATGCCAAGGTTTGAATTTTATTATACCAGTGATAGAGGGCCATTGAAGGCTTCAACAGAAGAGCAATACCCGAGGTGTGGTCTAAGAAGATTATTTTAGCAGCATTTTATTGGGACTTACTGGAACTGGAAGAAACTGGGAATGGGAGAGGCAAACACTAACAGGGACCACAAGGGGGAGATGTATAGCTTTCTGCCTCATCACTAAAAGAGAACATACATGACAAAATAAAATAAAAATTGCACCGCAGTCACAGATCTCGAAGAGTATGCTCTTTTTTTTTTTTTTTTTTTTTTT